TATATATAACTAGTCGGTAGTTGTAAATATTTTTTCTATGTAGTCTATGAGTCTTCAATAATAATGTCTATCTCGATGTTGAATTTAAGATTAGTCAAGAAATTTACACATACATGGTGAAAGTTCTCCTCCTCTTTCGTGATTGTTAACTAATTATTTTGTACTAATTATTTTAAATTATTACATGCTCTATATTATTATAGGTCTTTGAAACAAATCTATTCGAATGTTGTGACCATTATACAGTCGGTCAAGTAAGAGCGTGGCCGGGTTAATTTATAAAAATAATTATTTTATGAAACTTTAATATATTATATATGCATTGTATACGTTAAAAGCAAGGATGCAATTTGGTCAATATGTGTCCAGTCACCACCAGAGTGGACAATTGGCTGGCATCTCCGACGCCTGCTTTTTACTAATTTAACGGATTATTTTAGTCTGACGACTCGTATTTTAATTTAACGGCTCGATGAGGGCAGTACGTGCTCATATAGAACTTTCATCAGTAAAAATGACATTTTCAAAATCTCTAACAATATTTTCAAGTGCTCAAGCGGAAAAGAAGCACAGGTTTTTCAGTCGTCAGAGGCTTCCCCGTTGTGTTGCGCCATTTCAGATCATGGATACGAAAAAAGGTTCAGATAGTTTTATAGATATTTTTGTAGATATTTCTGAACATTTTGCCATTAATTTTGATCGCCCTTGCTGCAGTGTTAAAGCAGGATTCCGCAAATACCCATTCACTGTTCTTTTTTCTTCTTTTTTATTTGAACCACGTTCTGATAAAGCATCGACATTTTTAGCAACTTTATATAGGTGTATCGAATTCCGTACAAATGCCTTCAACTTTCTCATATGTTTAGCAGCAGCTGATTGCTGCATTTGGGTACCTTTTAGGTGCATGCAAAAGGGCGCAGCCTCGTAGCGCGACGCGTAACTTAGCACTCATGGCGTCTAACGTAATTTTTTCTCAAAAGAACAGCTGCAACTAAACCTTTTTTGACAATGCATCAAGGACAAAGCTTCACTTTATCGGCTCACGAAAGAATTAGACCGAAATCTTTCATTAACTGTCGTTAAAGCCGGCCACGCTCTTACTTGACCGACTGTATATAAAATATATATACCGGACTTAACTTTAAAACGTAGTACTGAACTCAAGATTTCCAATGATGTTCATGAAATTATTTTAAAAGATAGTTCATATATAATGCAACTGAGAAGACATTGATGGTAATCGATACATAATTGATCGAGACAAAGAATGCTGTAGATCGAGTTGGTGTTCTATCAAAGACTAGAAGTTTTGGATATGAAGAGAAATATATTAATTACTTACGAGAATTGTCAAGTAGAACGTTTTTATGTATATGTGTATGTATGTTTATATTTATATTTATTGAATTGAACTTTCTACAAAATTTTCAGCCAATCTACATTTTCAGGACAATTTGGCAACATTTTTGAAACGATTTAAAGCATTATCAGACAACTTACAACATTTTTTAACCATTCACAACATTTTTAAGGCATTGGCAATATTTAATCAACAAATGTCGATGCATTTGACAACATTTTCAAGACGATTTAAAGCATTATCAAACAACCTACAACATTTTTTATCTATTTACAACATTTTCAAGACGATTTAAAGCATTTTCAGATAACCTACAACATTTTTTATTTATTTACAACATTTTCAAGACTATTTCAAATATTTTCACACAACCTACAACTTTTTTGAACTATTTACAACATTTTCAAGATGATTTGAAGCATTTTGAAACAACCTATAATATTTTTGAACTATTTACAACATTTTCAGATAACAAACAATATTTTCAGATAGCCTACAACTTTTTTGAACTATTTACAACACTCTCAAGACGATTTAAAGCATTTTCAAACAACCTACAACATTTTCTAACTATTTACAATAATTTCAAGACGATTTAAAACATTTTCAGATAACCTACAACATTTTTGAACTATTTACAATATTTTCAAGGCATTGACAATGTTTTCTAGACGAAGAACAGTACAGATACAAATTAAATACAATTCAATTGAAATACATGAGAGGTTGATAAAGTAACAAAGTTTTATATCGGGTTGTTAATGTTCTGTTATAATGTCGTTGAATATGAAATATTGAGAATTTGTCCTTTTTTTTTTGTTAAATTCAAATATACCTTTCCTTGACGAATATATTTGTCAATACAAGTTAACTGATTGTACATTCATACTGCGTAATTATTAATAATTTATTATTATACTAGCAGCGATTTTCTATTTTTTTTTTCTCTGAAAAAGTTTATGGATCTCAGTGTTAAGTTTTGTTTGACACGCTGACTCTCAGCCCAAAAACTGGAAGATTCTGATAAATATATTTGCAGGTCATTTTGAATTTAATCATTTGTTAAATTCAGTTTGATTTTGCCGCCACCGCCTACGCTCGGCTGTCATTGACCGACGAACTAACTGTCAAATGTCTGTTTCATGTGACGCGCAGATAGATGGCGCTGCAGCCACACCACTGGCGCGGAAACAAGGATTCTGTCCTTTCTCTTGCCGGCCGTCATGGAGTGAACATCGAAAAAGAAGATAAAGATGCTGAAGCAGAAAATTTCTCGGTAAGTAATTGTATTTTAATATTTCAAGGCAGTGATATAGTGATTTTTGTTGTGTATGTTAATTGAATAGTGTGCGACAGCTTAGTGATTCTTGTTTAGTTATTATTATTAGTTAATTAAATCATCGAAGATCCAGTTTTATTAACATTTCAAATTACGCAATGCAACATAACACTGCGCATTCTTGCTATTTGCAACCGATAAATACGTTTGAAACCAGTGCAAGTTTTTAAACATTATTGTTACATTGCGCAATAAATTGCAAATTGTGCAATGTTATTATTTTTTAATATTGAACAGATTTTGAATATCATTTTGAAGTTAGAATGACTTTTGCAGATTCGAATTTATAATTTGTCATATACAATTGTCAATGACATTTTGAATTGGCACTAAAACTAGTAGCGTCATCGCCGGCGACAAACGACTATTCGCATTTGGCGCAAATTAGAGAATAGTGATTTCACAAGATGACATACGGTTATTTTTTCTTTTATATTTTATATTTTAATGGCAATGCTAGTGATAGTATATATTAGCTGAAGTTCAATTGTGTGAATCGTTTAAAATAACGCAATTTTATTACACACAAAGCACATTAAATCAACACATTATTTTTACTTTTTATTTTCAGGTTAATTGTATCAAGTGCTGCAGCTATTACATAAAGCCTGTCAATGACACAATGAAAATGATGATCTAAATTGTGAAGAGAATATTCATGCTATGGCAGAGTTGCCGGAATATATTTATTTTCTGCTTTGTATGTATACATTTATATTTTCAAATACGCGTCTGTCTATGTAAAAGTAACAATGCTTGAATTACTAACACGTTTCTTTTTTTCAGATCTTTGCAAAACTCATTTATATAAATAATCTGTGTATTTGCCTCTCCTTCTTGGTTGCCGTGTCCAATTGCCAGATTGCTTGATTGCCCAGAATGTTTGCCTCCCCTGCTTGGTTACCTTGTCAAATGCCTTACCGTTTTGGTTACCCTATTTGAATCCTAAGGTTCTTGCCTCTCCGTCTTTGTTGCGTTGTACAATGCCCAGAATGTTTGACTCCCCCTCTTGTTTGCCGTGTCCAATACCCAGAATGTTTGCCTTGTTTGGTGCCTATATTGTTTGCTTCCTCTCGCTTGCTTACCTTGTCCAATGCCCAGAATGTTTGTCTTACCATCTTGGTTGCCTTGTCATGAGCCTTATATGAATCCAAAGGTCTTTGCCTCTTTGTCTTTGTTGCCTTGTCCAATACCCAGAATGTTTGCCTTGTTTGATGTCGCTTGGTTACCTTGTCCAATGCCCAGAATGTTTGTCTTACCGTCTTGGTTGCCTTGTCATGAGCCCTATATGAATCCAAAGGTCTTTGCCTCTTTGTCTTTGTTGCCTTGTCCAATGCCCGGAATGTTTGCTTCCCCCTCTTGGTTGCCATGTCTCATGCCTAGAATGTTTGCCTCCACCTCTTGGATACTGTGTCCAATACACAGAATGTTTGCTTTGTGCACTGCCCAGAATGCCTCATCAGGGACCTGTCTTTTACTAATAATTGGGTATGTATCTTTCTATATATCAATAACAATGCCTGCATTGCTTACATGTATTTTTTTCAGATTCTTCCAATTCCACCATCAACGCACTGAATAGACACCACATCGACCTTTGTCAGGGACTTCTCTCTCTAATAATACAGTATGTATCAGTCTATAACAACAATAATGTCTGCATCGCTAACATGTATTTTTTTTTCAGATTTTTCCAAATCCACCATCAACGCACCGAATAGACGCCACATCGACCTCTTCATTAGGGACTCTCTCTCTAATAATCTATAACAACAATAATGTCTGCATCGCTAACATGTATTTTTTTTTCAGATTCTTCCAATTCCACCATCAACGCACTGAATAGACACCACATCGACCTCTTTGTCAGGGACTTCTCTCTCTAATAATACAGTATGTATCTGTCTATAACAACAATGTCTGCATTGCTAACATGTATTCTTTCTTCAGATTCTTTCAATTCCACCATCGACCTCTTCATTAGGGACTTCTCTCTATAATAATACAGTATGTATCTGTCTATAACAATAATAATGTCTGCATTGCTAACATGTATTTTTTTTTCAGATTCTTCCAATTCCACCATCAACGCACCGAATTTACACCACATCGACCTCTTCATCAGTGACTTCTCTCTGTAATAATACAGTATGTATCTGTCTATAACAACAATGTCTGCTTCGCTAACATGTATTTTTTTTCAGATTCTTCCAATTCCACCATCAACGCACTGAATAGACACCACATCGACCTTTGTCAGGGACTTCTCTCTCTAATAATACAGTATGTATCAGTCTATAACAACAATAATGTCTGCATTGCTAACATGTATTTTTTTTTTCAGATTCTTCTAATTCCACCATCAACGCACCGAATAGACACCACATCGACCTCTTCATTAGGGACTTCTCTCTATAATGATACAGTATGTATCTGTCTATAACAATAATAATGTCTGCTTCGCTAACATGTATTTTTTTCAGATTCTTCCAATTCCATGATCAACGCACTGAATAGACACCACATCGACCTCTTTGTCAGGGACTTTTCTCTCTAATAATGCAGTATGTCTGCAACAACAATGTCTGCATTGCTAACATGTATTCTTTTTTCAGATTCTTCCAATTCCACCATCAACGCACCGGATTTACACCACATCGACCTCTTCATCAGTGACTTCTCTCTCTAATAATACAGTATGTATCTGTCTGCAACAACAATGTCTGCATTGCTAACATGTATTCTTTTTTCAGATTCTTCCAATTCCACCATCAACGCACTGAAGAGACACCACATCGACCTCTTTGTCAGGGACTTTACTCTCCAATAATACAGTATGTATCTGTCTATTACAACAATGTCTGCATTGCTAACATGTATTCTTTTTTCAGATTCTTCCAATTCCACCATCAACGCACTGAAGAGACACCACATCGACCTCTTCATCAGTGACTTCTCTCACTAATAATACAGTATGTATCTGTCTGCAACAACAATGTCTGCATTGCTAACATGTATTCTTTTTTCAGATTCTTCCAATTCCACCATCAACGCACTGAAGAGACACCACATTGACCTCTTTGTCAGGGACTTTACTCTCCAATAATACAGTATGTATCTGTCTATTACAACAATGTCTGCATTGCTAACATGTATTCTTTTTTCAGATTCTTCCAATTCCACCATCAACGCACTGAAGAGACACCACATCGACCTCTTCATCAGTGACTTCTCTCTCTAATAATACAGTATGTATCTGTCTGCAACAACAATGTCTGCATTGCTAACATGTATTCTTTTTTCAGATTCTTCCAATTCCACCATCAACGCACTGAAGAGACACCACATTGACCTCTTTGTCAGGGACTTAACTCTCCAATAATACAGTATGTATCTGTCTATTACAACAATGTCTGCATTGCTAACATGTATTCTTTTTTCAGATTCTTCCAATTCCACCATCAACGCACTGAAGAGACACCACATCGACCTCTTTGTCAGGGACTTTTCTCTCTAATAATACAGTATGTATCTGTCTGCAACAACAGTGTCTGCATTGCTAACATGTATTCTTTTTTTAGATTCTTTCAATTCCACCATCAACACACCGAATAGACACCACATCGACCTCTTCATTAGGGACTTCTCTCTATAATAATACAGTATGTATCAGTCTATAACAACAATAATGTCTGCTTCGCTAACATGTATTTTTTTTTTAGATTCTTCCAATTCCACCATCAACGCACCGAATAGACACGACATCGACCTCTTCGTCAGGGACCGATTCAAGTATTAATGCCCTTGAGAAGCTTCAAGAATGCGTATAAGTTCATGCGACCGTGCAAAACAATGTGAAGTGACCGACATCAATGGACTTCATTGTGAAGAGAGTCTCGATTGCCTTGTTTGCGCCTTTGAACGCCCAGGATTTTTGCCTCCCCGATTTTGTTGCCTTGACCAATGCCGAGAATGCTTGCCTCCCCATCTTGGTTGCTTTGTCTAGAGCCTTATTTTATTGCCCATTATGTTTGCCTCCCGTCTTGGTTGCTTTGTCCAATTGCCAGATTTTTGTCTCCTCGTCTTTGTCTTCCAATGCCTTATTAAATACCCGGAAGGTTTGCCTCCTCGACTTGGTGGTCTGGTTCTCCAATGCCTTATCGAATGCCCTGCATTTTTGCCTCTACGGTTTGCTTGTTCTGTCTAGAGCCTTATTTTAATGTCCATAATGTTTGCCACCGCGTATTGGTTGCTTTGTGCAATTCCCAAGGTCTTGTCCTCCAATGCATATTTGAATGTGTGAATGTGATTGCTTGTTGTATCTTGATGATCTTTCTTGTTGATCATTGATATCATGGTGCCCCCTTTATTTGGATGACTACTACAGTCCTCGTTTTTCCATGTCTTGTCGTGACAATTGAAGCCCACCATTGTCAGTAACTTCACTTTGTCCATGAATCATATAATCTGTGATAATGATAATTAATATTAATAATAATGTTTATATAATAGTAATAATCATAATGTATTCTAACCTTTTGCTTTCTCTTCCAGATTCAATTCTCCACCACTGAACCGCCTGCCCTTGTCGACCTAACCGATTCCATCGACTCTAATTAATCAAACAATAAGCTCTTACGAAGGATCAATTGGCAATCGTCTTCGTGCTTAAGTTGGAATACTAACTCTTATAAATTTAGCATGTTGCTGTTCACTTAGGAAGACTTAGTAAAACTGCTCAGAAGAAAACTCTTGGTGAGTTACTTTTTACAATGTATTATAAAGTAGTCTGAATTACTTTTAATTGGGTGCTTTTGTTTACAGGGCAAACAATGACCGCATCAGGATGCTCACACACCTGCCTGCATTGGACCTTATCTTGCTGCCACAAACATTAACTTAACGGTGTCCCTACACCAGATAATACATGCTGATGTGTTAGCATTAGCATTAGGAATTCATTCGTGCGTTCAATGACTCAAAGGATGACTTAAATACTTACAATATATTCATCTAATTATTAAATAAATACATTATAATTATAATAGTTCAATTTGTTGTTTTAATTTCCATTAATTCTTTACTCATAAAATATGTTACTTAAATTACATAAATATTTAAAACTATTTTATTGTTATAGGTATAATAAAAGAATGTCAAACGTCAGTTCTGATAAATGAAGACAATGTGAAGTGAACAGCAACTGAGTGGCTCCATTGTGAAGACTGCGGATACAGCACTTTGGATATTAAAACATTTGTTGTGCAAACAAATATAAGTATTAAAATATTTTATATTAAATATATATATATATATATATATGTATGTATATATACTAATTTATTGATCTATTTGCTAAGCATATTTAACATAACTTTAGGCTTCCCTTTTACTTTTCTCTTGAATGATTTGTACTCTGGTTCATCCTACTCGAATATCTTGCTCGAATGGCCTGCAGCCTGTTCTCTGCTTATACCCCGTGGTCTATACTTGTGAACTCTGGTCTATACTTGTGAACTCTGGTCTATACTTGTGAACCCTGGTCTGTACTTGTGAACCCTGGTCTGTACTTGTGAACCCTGGTCTGTACTTGTGAACCCTGGTCTGTACTTGTGAACTCTGGTTTGTACTTGTGAAACCTGGTTTGTACTTGTGAACCCTGGTCTGTACTTGTGAACCCTGGTCTGTACTTGTGAACCCTGGTCTGTACTTGTGAACCCTGGTCTGTACTTGTGAACCCTGGTCTGTACTTGTGAACCCTGGTCTGTACTTGTGAACCCTGGTCTGTACTTGTGAACCCTGGTCTGTACTTGTGAACCCTGGTCTGTACTTGTGAACCCCGGTCTATACTTGCGAACCCCGGTCTATACTTGCGAACCCCGGTCTATACTTGCGAACCCCGGTCTATACTTGCGAACCCCGGTCTATACTTGCGAACCCCGGTCTATACTTGCGAACCCCGGTCTATACTTGCGAACACTGGGTCTATACTTGCGAACACTGGGTCTATACTTGCGAACACTGGGTCTATACTTGCGAACACTGGTCCCTTAGGCCCCTGCATTTGCCCCCCTATGGTTTCTTGCCCCTTGATTTGTATTCATGTAAATTGACTAATGTTTTGTTCAAATAGTTTTATATTTAGTTTATAGTATTTTAATTATTGTAAAATATTATTTTATTACAATATTAATAAATCTTTCTTACAGGTTGTATCGAATTGCTAATTTGACTAGTACTGCTGATCGTGCTGTCCCAAAACACTTGTCAAGATTCTACTATGTGTTGCATTGAGAAGCCAATGTCAAGAACCTAAATGTTTGTAATACATTTATCTAAATATTGAATACAATTATTGTTAACCTTTTAAATTCGTTGTTTTATTCATACCATTATTGTTTTCTTTCATTGTGAGTCTTTAGGCACTCGATCATTTGCTAGAGATACAAACACATTAACTCATTTGCTCATGTAATTTTTTTTTATTCACCACTCACTGAATTACATAAATATTTATGTCTTTGCATTTTATAGGTAATATGGGAGAAATTCATTTATCAATTCTGACGAATTAAGACCAGAGTGAAGTGACCGGCAACCGATAAACCTCATTGTCATGTGTGGATGTCTTAAACTTCTGGCCTCTGATGACTTCGATGTCTTTTGTAATTAGATAAATCAAGACAAAGTGAAGTGGACAACAACCGATTGGCTTTACAATATATTATATTGAGTATATATTTAAGAATTAGAAAGGTCCCAAGTCACTTGTCAAGATATACAAATATATTGACTCATTTAATCATGTAATTTTTTATCAATTATTTACTAAACCATGGATTTTAACTCAATATAAATATGTCAAAACACACATTTTTCCTTTCATTATTTCATGTCTAACTCATGATTTGAATTTTTAATAATAATGTTTCTAATTATAGCAATTGTAATTAATCTTTCTAATAAATAAAAATTATTAATTATAAATGCTGTTCTATTGTAGTTAGAGTAAGAGTATGTTATAATAATATAATTAATATTTGTAATGTAACGATCTAACTTATATATGAATTTGTGTAATGCCATTAAATAAAATTATTTAACTTTATCTGTAAGTGTTTAATTTAATTTAATTTTTATCAATTTCAGTGATATATAATTGAACTTGTGTATACTTGCTAATTTATTATCAACTATTAATATTCGAGTCAATTTCAATTAAGCAAATTTAAAGTTCAGTTTAGAAATCCACGAACTGAGTAAAAAGCCATGGATATATATGCATGAGTTTTTAGCATGAAACATTGAAAGAAAACATTTATGTTTTTGACACGTTTAATTTGAGTGAAAATCCATGACTTTTTAAACAGATTGAAGTGGAAAATATTAATATTTCAAAAGTTTAGTTTGAAATTAGCTACTAATATGTAGAAATTATTGTATTATACAATGTTAATAAAATTATTGTAATTATAATATCTTTTAATTGGTATTTCATGTTTTTTATTAGTTAGATACTTTAGTTAATATGAGCACTTTATTAGATTGTCTTTGCAATTTTACTTAGAATTATTTACTGGCTCAAAGACTACTATTTCAACAACTCTGTGACAAATAGATTAATTAATTAGTTCAATTTAATTAATAAGTATAACTAGTGTTAGTTAGTTTTACTTAACTAAGAAAAATATATTTTTTATGTCTTTTTTTAACTTTAATAAATATGAGCAATTTATTAATTTAATTACTTTATTATTTTATTACTTCATTATAAAGGCTAAGATTGTGTTTGCAATTTTGCTCATAATTAAATTAATTATTTGCACAAAGACTTATTTCAACTGCTCTATTGCAATTAGATAAATTAATCAGTGTATTTTAATTAATATGTATATTACGTATCAGTTCTACTTAACTTAGAAAAAATATTTCCTTAGATCTTACTATTTTTTTCTTTTCTTATATACCGTGTAACTTTAAGAAAAATAAGCACTTTAATTAATTTAGACTGCATAATAATTAGTTCATATTAGTTAATACCTAATAACTTATATTAATTATTTTTGCTTTTTAACTTATAAAAAAAATACATCTTAAAGACTTAGAATTTTTTCTTTTTCTCTATTATCACTTTTTTTACTTAATTTAACATATTTATTATCTTATTTAAATCCCGCTAGTTAAGGGATTTTTTTAACCCCCAGGTTCTGCGGTTACCTAACCATAGAACCCTGGTTTAAGGTAACCGGAGCCCTGAACGTCAGGTAACCGGAATTCGGTAAACCCTGACGCAAGGGGTCGGGATGGGATTAGCTACCCTACAATTTTACAATTAATTCGCTTACCTCGATTTTTTATTTTTTACCCTACCTGCGTCTCGAACCTGCTACCATATCCTTCCAATCTTCTATCCCATTCACTCCTCTTAGCCCGCTACTCCATGCTGATCACACCGAAACACCGCCGCAAACTGGCTTATGTAGACTCGATATAGATAAGCCAGAAAATAATTCAACCGGCGACGATTTAACAAGTCATAAGCACGAAAAAAAGCCGAGTTCGTCACCGGTTGTGTGGCGTAACGGTTAGCGTGATGGCTTTGTACCGCAAAGGTAACGAGTTCGATCCCAGGATCGGACGGGAAAAAAGTTCGTCGTGTTGGCCGGTATACTATGCAAGCGTGCCGGACGTTACGTTGATGTAATTAAGAAAAGCTCCGTGTAGGCGAAGGGGTGAATGAAGAAAACCTT